CAACTGATCCAAACTTTTCAATAAACACTGTGACTCATGACTAGTGTATATGTCCATGACAGGCAGGTTACCAGCAACTGATCCAAACTTTTCAATAAACACTGTGGTTTTCTTCCTTTAAGTACAGCATACATGTACGTAATACAAGTACACAAACTTGTACCACTGTTTACAATGTGTCAGTGCTCAGCCAATTGCACCTACAGTACAGTACACCGTGCCTGTACTGTGCACCATAGGGTAGGTTAGGACTGGCACCTGTAGGCTTTGATTACACTATATTACATGTACATGTACAGTGTACATGTACAGTACCTGTACCCACATAGTATTAGTAAGTTCATAAATCAGTGCTTATCAGCTTTCACCTCAAAACTCTTAAATGCTCACAAACTACATGTACATGGGCACGCGTACCTGTACTTTGAAACTGTTTTATTCCTGCCTTATGAGCTATTAGCACCGCTGGGTTGCTCTCAAATGTCAAAGCTCACAGGCTCTGTCTGTACATACCTTCGGCAGCATGTACATGTACTGTACATGTACGCACAATTTATGTGCTGCTACATGTACGGTATGTCGGTCTAAATTTCATGTTCACATTTCAAGAGACAGGTTTTTTACACGTGGCTTTAAACAGTAAGACCTTGCATTTAAAATCAACCCATGTTGAGCTCATTTCCACCTTAAGTTAATTGGAACCTGAAGACAATTGGAAAGTTATTTTTTAAATCTGTAAGGGCCACGTGAGTGTAAGTACCAGTATACATGTACATATACATGTACATAATGTACATTGTACATGTACAGTGTTGGCCACACTGTGGTTCTTAGGCAGTTCTCACCAAAGATCGTGTAGTGCCGAAGGCGCAAGATGGATATCTCTGCCCAAAAGGTGTAATTACCATGGGCACCATTTGAGCAAGCGATACGCCTGCGCAGTTCACGGTTAATGCTTAGGCGCAGGCTCACCAGGTGCACATGCCTGCCGCAGTGCCTGCGCCAGTGCATTAACGTGCATTGCGCAGGCATATCGCTTGCTCAAATGGCATCCATGCAATTTCAACGTTTTACGTGTATTCACTGTGAAGTTCGCCATCTTGCGCCGCTACGCGGTGCTATATGATCTTTGATTCTCACGGAGCCACAGATCACTGCAATGCACTGCATCTGAATGCATTTTGGTCCGATTTGAAATCTACCACATGCCTCCATAAACCTAACAGTGGTCTGATCATTAATGATTTAATGCTGTAGACTTCCCACCACATGCGTCGCTGTCTGGCATGGTGGGAACACCAGAGCAGGAATTCAATAGAGCTTATAAAAATGCTGACTGTGAATTATTGATTTAAACCCCTGAATATCTGAAGCCATGAACATCATCAGAAAACAGATTGCCTCCATGCATCATTGAAAGTGGAATAGGTCATGCTGACGAAAGTTGGCTGCTCCATGTACCGGCATATACACGTATTTATTATCAATCTCCCATTGCACTGCAAACAATCATCAGCTCACACTATAGATAAACAAAGACCACAAAGTCTACATTGAAACCTCAAATTATAGCGTGCCCTCAGAAACTTTGTCAAATCTACATGTGCCTCGTCTGCAAAGGTACCGGTACGGCTCAAACAAACCTGATAACAAAGTTCTCATTTTAAATTTAAACCAATCATCCTTTTTTGGATGCAAACCGTATTTTTGTCATTTAGCATACTGTACATGTACATGCACTTCTGCTCTTAGGCAAAAAGTTTCTGGTAAATGTACACGAACTCCCCAGTTCTGCTCTCTGGAAGAGCGCAAACTGAAATATGAAACGAGAAATAGGTTTGCGGGTACACCATGGAATCAATTTCTTGTGGGCGAGGTGTGGTTCTTAAAAGAACTGGTGAGTGTTAACTCAACGTTTTGGCCAGTGTGCTCTGGCTGTCCTCAGGAGAGTGTGCCCGACTGGAGTGGATGGCTTTGTCATAAAATGAAATATGAAACCAAAAAATACCCGGCAGATTCAATTATTTAACCCTTAATGACGCCATCAGCAGCTGCCCCTGCCTGTTAGTTGCATAAGCAGAAAAATAGGGGCATAAAGAAAACCATCGTTTTCCACAGCCATTTCAAAGACAGGTGTTCATAGTGAACAAAGTCTTTCCATGATGAAGAATTCAGAGGCTTCAACTGCAGGGTACATGTACACCGTAAATTGTAATGACTCATTACAGAGCGATTAGTGCATGCATGTATACATGTACATATACATGTACAAAGTAGTTACGGTAGCATTAAATCCAAAAACGATAATTTGCAAAGGAAAACGGTAGCATTAAATCCAAAACGATAATTTGCAAAGGAATTTACAGACACACCAAAGACAGACAGGATTTGGCCAGCATGTGTATGTTCCCAGTTTCTTGATGAGATTTTCCAAATGAGTGCTAGCTCATTCTGTTTAACCCAAACAGCCGAGCAGACAATGCTAAGAACTCAGGACTCTGTAATCTAACAAACGATGGGAGTTGCCCTAATGAGGTTGCAACACTCCTCCCCCCTGTTATTCAGCCACTGACTTATTTCATACGAGTAAAACGGGGCTATTTACATGCATGCTAAATTCCTTACTTTCCTTACATACTGTACTTTCTCAACTAGCTTTCATGTACGTTTATGAATCACAGATGCCAGTTTCTGGGGGGGAGGGATGCTCAAGACACCCCTCTCTCCCAGTGAGGCATGCCCTCGACACAACTCAAACTCAAAACTCCCCGGCATCATTCCTCCTCTTCCCTACCTCCCCTTCCCCCTTTTCCTTAGGAAGTTAGATCTGCCTTTGCCACTCTGCCCTAAACAAATTATAGCCAATCCATGTTGCCCACACCGGTACATGTACATAAACTTTTCAGTCAAAGTGCATCAGGGCCACAGAAAGTGGATGGACTCTACCATGTCCATGCTAACCCGCAAAATTCCTCAAACCTCCTGGTCAAGGAAAGAGTTCCATACATGGATATCACTTAACGCATAATGTACAAACAACTATGAAACTGGTCTAAAAAATTCTATGTACTGGTATTTTAAACCTTTCATTTCCATTTGTATTTTCTCTGTTGAATTTGCTGGTTTAAGATATACATGTATGTACAGTATATGTTATGGCTTTCTGACGGCCAATTTACCACTGCAGGGGAAAATTAATGATATCCACGTACATGTATTTGTAGACGCGACTTTGTATGACCTTGGGTCAATGCGAAGTGAAAACAAAATGCATTTTACGGTGCTCTGCATGGCAAAAGTGCATTCACCTCAGGTTGTTTTCACCGTGCTGGCCGGAAGTCTTACACAAGTCGCATCCTCCTACATGTACATGTATATGCAGGGAAGATTAGGGTAACGTGGGATGTATGTATGTAATTAACCTCTTACTTTCACACTGAGCCACGTGGTGTACATGTAGTCATCTATGATATCAGTATCCCGAACTGCCCAAAACCATGCCATAAACCTCCGGCTTTTCCCTCCTGAACTAACGTAGGCTTGGACAGTATTTTGATTACTGAATAGTACTAATAGCAACCGAATGATAATCCATAAATACTGACATACAGTACCAGCGAACTCGGGACTGCGATATTCTTGCTAATGTCAGAAAACATATGCAGCAA